TCGTCCAGGACACCATCAAAACGCTGAAATGGGATCTGCTACCGCACCCGCTGTATTCACCAGACCTGGCCCCTTCCGATTATCACTTGTTCCGGTCGATGGCGCATGGCTTGGCTGGGCTACACTTGGCCAATTTCGAAGAAGTGCAGAATTGGTTGGATGAATGGTTTCGATTCAAAGACGCGTCGTTTTATCGTCGCGGTATTCATGTATTGCCAGAGAGATGGCAAAAATGTGTAGCTAGCGAGGGACGATATTTTGAATAAACCGTTTTTTGTATTTCTCTTGAAATTTTCCATTTTGCATTGATAAAAAAAACCCGGAAACTTAGTTGCGCACCTAGTAGATGCGACATGCTTATGTCAAAGGCATCTATAAAAAGTAACATCGCAGTTTTATAAGGCATACGAATGAAAGGAAAGAAGGAATTAAACAATTCAACGACACATCTTGTCATGTGTTCGTATTCAGGTTTCGTATCTTTACAATTAGGTAGCGCCCAATATTGATAGAAATCACGCGTACGCTGTTTTATTTCCACGAGATTGCCACGGCAGAAGTTATACCTGAAAAATATCACAACCATTAATAATGCAGAATAGTTGATGCTATGAATGCGTTTAATTTGCGTCGCGTCTAATGAATGATTCAGCAATACATACTTATCTTCCATTCCTAGAAAATATCCGTAACATCTCCAGATATGACAGAAAGCTTCTAAATCTTCGTCAGTTGCATTGTGTACTCCAAATTTATTCGGATAAAGTAAAACTAAGCCTACGAAGCAGCATTGAAACACTGCCATGTCCACGTCATTGAAATACTTTTGCTTATATGGCGATTTAGCGAACAACTTATAAGGGCGTTGTTTAATTTTTTCGAATGGACACGCTGCGGTGAAGTTGTTCAAAAGCAATTCACGATCTGGGCACCATGGATTTGCGAATGTACACGCAGCATTAATTTCGTCATCACTGAGACGAGAGAGTTTGTTTCTTACCATCATATGCATTTCACGTGTAATTTGCATGTCTTTGTAAGCGGGCGTCCCTTCAACCCAAGGTTTTCCTTTATACCAATTTATTATTCGGCGTATAGTTGAGATATATCTTCAAAATTATCGAGATTAAGAAATTATATATATTTGAATTATAAAATTATATCGAAAAGCTGTGCTATTTTAGTACAATGTATTACGCATGAGATTAATTATTACATTTGCGACTCAAATTCACACTCGTGAGCTAATAATAAAAGCAACTCTTACACTGAGAAAAAAAATGTTGAATCAAACAAATATTTTTTGCTCTAACTACATATATGCGGCGGTCACGAGCTGTCAAGTGAATATTTGTTAATCCAGCAAAATATTATGTTTTGATAAATGCAATAGTTAATTTGTATGAAAAGAAATATTTAGTTAACCTAACAGAATTGTATTATGTTCAAATATAAATGTATTCAATGACTGGTTAATATAAATGTATAAATAATGTTGAATCAATACAACTGTAGCATTTATTTACTTCAGCAGCATCTTTATTCAGATTAACTGTAAATTGTTTAGAATTATAAAATTTATTATTCACTGAATTAAATGTCAACAAAATTATATTGTTGTTTTAAATTAATAACGTTATGTTTACTTAAAAACATATATTGAAACTGTCAAATAAACATATATTGAAACTGTTAATTAAAAATAATTGAACTGAAGAAATGAAGTCAATTAAATTTATTTAGTAATTTCAACAACTTTTCTTTCTCAGTGTAGAAAGCAATGAAGCAAGAAATAAATATTTAAATAAAATTAAATTAAAATGAATTCAACGAGTGATAGCAAACTATAAAGTAATGCAATTGTGTTGTGATACAATTTTGCGATCACGTACGATACATTTGTTAGTTTCTTTTCGCAGGAAACAAACAGTAATATAGAGGAAATACCTTTTGTACCCCAAATATGGCGTATGAGATTGACCATTCAGAATAATTGGCCTTAGAGTATTTTCAAAAGAATACGCATAAAAGAGTGATAATAACGTAGCTATGATAGTTGCGGCGAAATAATCCTGCACAAACTTTTGCCCTTTGCGATACTTATCCATATCCAACCATTCGGGTATATCTACTAACGATCGATTACAATCTCCTTGATGAAAGAATGCCGGAATGTATTCCAGCAAGGACTCTGGCACGTTCGGAAAGAATTTAGAAATATTCTCATTTATCCAATTGTATTGTTTGCTTACTGTCCACATATCGAAATCGTGTGGGAATAAGTTTTCATCGAAAATATTTTTCAACGTCTTCACGTATTCATATTCCTCCAAATTTTCTTCCCTGTTTGTCTGTACTTTCGTTGTATTTTTTAATTCGCACTTGCAATTTTTTACGTTGTTTTTAAGCGTATTACTAATGTCCGTCATATCTAAAGTCATGACGAGAAGAACTTCTCTGCAATGAGAAACGAACTGAGCGATACCACAACGAGATACTGTACGGAACTGCGCGATACTTTTAGACTTTGCACACAAACCTGTGCAAAAGTTTATATGGTATAATCTATGCATACATATAATTGCGAATCGTACAAAACAACTACACGATATTACTATCTCTCTTATTATTCTCTCATCACCTCTTTCGTCTCTCATTCATTTTTTTTCTTTCTTCTGTTTTTTTATGTATAACATTTCTTAAAAAATAGTTATCGCACTTACAAGGAAACTGACCCAAGTGCCTTCCTCTGATTTTGACGAGCTTTAAATATGTTGTAAAGTAGCTCAAAATAAGAGATATGTATTTTTTTTATCTGCATTCTCGCACTTAGGGTTGAAAGAACCCCTACAAACTAAAGCGGTCTATTTGGTTTTGACTAAATGTCAAAACTGTAAGAGATATAAAAAAATGTTTCGAATAAAAGTTGCATGGTCTTTTATGAGCTTTACAACCGCGCAGCGGATTTTTAAACCCCACCCTTTTTTATTATTTTACGAATTTCAAAATTAATGCCATGACAAAAGTTGTAGCATTTTATACATTGAATACAAACATATATGATTTTATTATGTTTCGAAATTGCATCTTTCAGAAATGAGCTGTCAATGTCGCACTATATGCGTCGCGCTGCATGACGCATCGTTTGTACCGCGCTTGTGTAATCGATAAGACGAATGAGATTAGAAATAATTATTAGCATGTTATCAACATGTATTCGGAAAAATATTCTGATCAAAGATCAAAGTTCACTAAAGTTATTGCCAAGGCATCCCGTCTATATTACACTTTCATAGTCGCATTTCGAACGCAGCGCGTTGGTATATCCAGTCAGTGCATATTACGCTTTAAAGTTATGCGCTTGTTAGTGATTGCAGAAAAACAATATATAAAACAGCATAAAATTCACTATAAAGTATTATTTTTTTGTAGACAAATAAGGAGAAATATTTAATTTTTATATGTTTTAGAATGGTTTAATTAAATCCATTTAACGTAATAATGTTGGTATACGTAACTTTTTTGGCTGTTAATCTATCAACAAGTTCATAACATCTGAAGAACGAGAAATGGCACGTAAAATAGAATCTATGCTGAAAAAAATGCGCGATGAGAGATACGAAATGGAAGTAGAAGAATTTTTGGATTATGAAAACGATAACGATATTCCAACAGCAGAGCAAGTCGAACTAAGAGATGAAGAGGAAGAAGGTGAGGTATTTGACGCAAATCCTAAAGTTATATATACTACAGATGAACGTATTCTGTATGAATATAAAAAAAATGCAGTCGAATTTTGGAAAAGCAGTAAAACAAGGCCAAGAACAGAAGGATTTGCGTCAAATACCTCACTTTCTTCTTTCTATTTTACGTACCATTTTTACTCATTTTTTGTTCTTTAGATGTTATTAGACTTGTTGATAAATTAAAAGCCGAAAAAGTTACGTATACCAACATTATTACGTTAAATGGATTTAATTGAACCATTCTGAGAAATATAAAAATTAAATATTTCTCCTTATTTGTGTACAAAAAAATAATACTTTATAGTGATTTGATGCTGTTTTATATATTGTTTTTTGGTAATCACTAAGAAGCGCACAACTTTAAAGCGTAATATGCACTGAACGGATATAACAACACGCTGCGCTCGACATACGACTATAAAAGTGTAATATAGAGGGGATGCCTTGGCAACAATTTTAGTAAACTTTGTTCTTTGATCAGAACATTTTTCCGAAGACTCGATAACATGCTAATATTTATTTCTAATTTTATTCGTCTTATCGATTACACAAGCGCGGTACAAACGATACGTCATGCAGCGCGACGCATATAGTGCGACATTGACAGCTCATTTCTGAAAGATACGATTTCAAAACATATTAAAATCATATATGGTTGTATTCAGCGTATTAAATGCTACAACTTTTGTCATGACAACAATTTTGAAATTCGTAAAAATAATAAAAAGGGGTGGGGGTAAATTAAAAAATATAAAATATTTTAAAAATTCAGCTGTGCGGTTGTAAAGCTCATAAAAGACCATGCAACTTTTATTCGAAACATTATTTAATATCTCTTACAGTTTTGACGATATTCAGTTAAAACCAAATAAACCGCTTTAGTTTGTAAGGGTTGTTTCAACCTTAAACGTGCGAGAACGCAGATAAAAAAAGATACGTGTCTCTTATTTTGAGCTACCTTACAATATATTTAAAGCTCGTCAAAATCGGAGGGGGACACTTGGGTCAGTTTCCTTGTTAGAACACTATTATTAATGATATTAATAATTTTATGCGGATTAGCAAATTCGATGCACATTGCGTAGATTGAATAATAGATTATTATATATCATTGCATCAACGCATAATTTAAACATGTTAGCAGTCAATATAAGCAATATTAATAGACTAATTGTATAAATTGTGTAAAGAATTATATACATTTTACTATCTCTCGTTTTCCACAAATAGATCTGATTCTATAATTATATTTTATTTTTTTACATTTATTTTACATACTTTTGTAGGTTGCGTTTCGATTGGAACAACTCGAAAGAACAAATCGATAGCTTTTAGGGAAAATTACCAGCAAATCGACCGATAAATATTATGATTGTGTATGTTTATATTATGACCAGTAGGTAGCTAGTCAGTATAATGCACGCGAAATCTCCGAGCTTTCGTAGATCTGCTGTTTTTTTTTTTTTTTTTTTTTGTATTTTTTGTATTTTCCTAGTTGCGGCAGATTTCTTTTCTGCTTTTTGCGCTGGCTAATTATCTGTATCGTCTGGACTGCGCATGATTCTCGTTCTCTTTCATACTTTCAATCGAAAAAGTATGTTCTTAGAAATCGGATCAATCAAACTAATTGCTAATTCCTCGAACGCGATTTGTTGTTTAATCGATGGCAGGGATTATATTCGGCTGTCAATGTTCGGCTGCTATAAATTAAGCGTTTTTGACAATAGTTTTCTCGAGGCGAACTCTCATAAATAACAACAAAGATAGCGTTGATCCCAACGTTTGTACAAACGGCAATTTTCTATAATTATTATAATTTACGCGTTCATTTATTATATTTTAACATACTTTTTAATTTTGACATGTTTTTTATTCGAATGATTGAAACAATCATTATTCTAAAGTTTTAGCAATACATGATGAATAAAACTGAGAGATAAAGCTATTGTATTTATTTTATTGATTATATAATAGTATATATTATATTTTGATAATCCTCCTTCTTTACTTACGATAACAGTTTCATTGATTTTTTTTAAGTTCTGGCTTTTTTTCCGAGCTATAGTTTACCGCAGTATTTAAAATGTAAATTGCAAGTTTGTTCATAGCTTTTCTTATGATAGATAATTTTAAAGCATGTTGAAGTATAAATCTGAAATTATTAAAACGTAATATAAATATACATAATTTATGAAACATATTTTATAATTTGCATAAATTGAATATAATAAGAATTATTACTAATAAACTAGTATAGTGAAAACTTAATTGTGATTGAAGTAAATTTTACTTACGTATAGACTTTATAAGCGATCCATTCTGAATAACTAAGAGACGCATATAAATTTGGCATCTTTAAATCTAATAAGTCTGTAGCAATTAACACCATTGCTTTATAAGGCATATATATAAAACGATAATAATTCATTGGTACGATAACACATCTGGTCATGTGCTCCCATTCGGGCGTAATAATCTTGAAATTAGGCGTTATCCAATATTGGAAGAAATCTTGTGTGCGTTGTTTTATTTCTTCAAAACTGCCACGAAAAAAGTTGTGCCTAATAAATTATATAATATTAGTAACGTAATATTTTACAGAGGCTCTAATGTGTACAGTCAGAAGCATTGAAAGCTATCCACTTGGGTATCTCTATGATTTTTCAAAAGCATTTACTATCTCCATCTACATTCAAGTAAAAATGGAAAAATAAAAAATATAGTAAATATAGTAAATGCTTTTGTAAAGTGGTGGGGGTGCTCAAGTAAATAGCTTTAAATGCATCTGATTGTACGTATACGTAGTGTGCTTCGTGTGTAGAACATCCGTCTTTCTTTCTTTTTGTCTTTAAAATGGGCTTGTCCAAATTTATGGAGAACGTAAATGTTCTTTACTTTAATCTAAAATCGCTCATATTGTCATAATTTCTCTTAACGGTTTTTCTTAATGTAATCGAAATTGATTGTAACGTATTAATGAATATATCAATAAGTGCTAATAAATTTATGATAATTTAGAATTTTAACGTCTATTTTTTTTTTGGCTTTTACCCTTAATCAGTAAAGCAGCGCAGAAGGGAAGACATTTAGGTTCCTAAACTTTAGAAATTTGGACAGACTTAATTTACAATATCATCTGTGTATTTTTATAATTTTTAATATATATATATATATAATTTCCGTACTCGTCTTCCAATCCGAGAAAATATCCGTAGCATCTCCACATATGACAAAAAGACCTCTATATCTTCATCTGTTGCGTTGTGCACTCCAATATCTTGCGGACGCAACACAAACATACCTACAAAAGCGGCTTGTACACTTGCGAGGTCCATATTATTTATACCTTTTGGTCTATACGGCGATTCACTCATCATAGTAAAAGGAAATTGCGCGAATTTTTCAAATGGGCATGCCGTAGCAAAATCTTTTAGAAAAATTTCGCGATCTGGACACCACGGTTCCGCGATTTTAGATGCAGCGTCGATTTGCTCATTATCGAGCTTACGCAATTTTTCACTCATTAGCAAATGCAATTTATGTGTAAACTGCATGTCTTTATAAGCCTGTGTTCCTTTAATCCAAGGGTCTCCCTGATACCAGCTTAAAATTCGCTTAAAAGTTGATAGATACCTTCAAAATTAAAAAAAGCTGTTTGTATGTTAAAAGAATGTATGTTAATGTATGTTAATTCTTTTGTGATCTATGATACTTATACAATCATATTTTTTTTATATAATATGCTATGTGAAAAATCTTGACATTCCTGGTACAATGATAATAAATAAAAAGAAATGTGAAAATAATGAAAATGATGAAAGAGAAATGATTGAAATAAATAAAATTGGTTAGGCATCGCGTATTAATAAAGTATTACAAAGGAGCATAACATAAAATTTTATAGTAATATCTAAAAATGGAGTATTAGTAGGCATTAATGACTTTGATCAACGGTTTTTTTAATTAGTTGTAAGAATCAACAAATAATAACTAATTAGAAAAAAATACCTTTTGTATCCTAAATCCAGCGTGTGACCGTGTCCTCCTATAATAACTGGTTTTAAACTATCATTGAAAGTGTATATATGGATGAGGCCTATTAGCTTTCCCATAATAATTGCGGCAAAATTTTCAGATACAAACTTTTGCCCTTTGCGATACTTATCTATATCCAACCATTTGGGTATCTCCACTAACGATCGATTACAATCTCCTTGATGAAAGAATGCCGGAATGTATTCCAGCAAGGACT